GGCTATTTCAGTAATTTTGGTCATTTTCAGGGTTATTTTGACCATTTTTGGGGCTATTTTGGCCGTTTTTGGGGCCCATCCCGGGGGGTCCTCTCGGGGGGGTCCGGGGGGGAGTTGGGGGTGCAGGGGGGGAGGGGCAGTCGGAGGTAGGTGCTTTAAAGTCCATTTATTTTTGTTTTTTTGTTTTTTTTTTTTTAGAAAAACAGGCACATTCAGTCCACGGGACCCGGGGAGGGGGAAAATTTGGGATTTGGGGAATTTTGGGGGGGTTCCCACAGCCCCAAACACCTCCCCTCCCCCCCCCAGCGGCATTTTGGGGCTAAAAGGGGCTTTTCCCCCGCAAAAATCCAACTTCAACCCCTCCCCCACCCCCGAACCCCAAACCAGCCCTGGGGGGGGTGGTGGGAACCAGGGGAAAACCCCAAAATTGGGGGGTTTTGCCCCATTTTGTGCCAGCAGGGGAGGGGTGGGGGGGAATCCTCAAATCCAGGAATTCTGCCCCGTTTTGGGGTGGGGGAGGGGTAAGGCCTCGTGGGGGTGGGGGAGGGGCCGGGAGCATTCTTGGGGGGGGGATAAAAATGGGGAGAAATTGAATAAAAATCAAAGTGGGAAAAATCCCTCAAAAAAAAAAAAAAAAAAAAAAAGCCCCAAAATAGCCCCGGAATTCCCCAAAAGAAAAAAGGTGGTGCCAGGAGGGGGAGGGGGGTGAGTTTTGGGGTGAAATCCTGGGAACTGGGGAGGAAGAAAGGATGAAAGTCACCCCAAAAATTACACCTGGGTGGGGGGGGCAGTCACCCCAAAAAATGTAAAGAGGAGAAAAAAATTGGGAAAAAAATGAGCCAAAATTGGGAAAAGGGAGGAAAAAAAGAGGTGGAATAAAGGGAATGGAAGGGTTAAAACAAACAAACAAAAAAAGGATGAAAAAATGTGGAAAAAAGGAGGAAAGGGGAAATAGAGGGGAGAAAATGGGATGAGAGGGAAAAAAAAGAAAAATAAAAAAAAAGGGGGACAAAAACGGGGGAAAAAGGGAAAAGGAGCGAAAAAAAAGGGGAAATAAAAGGCCCCAAAGCCGAGGGGTGAGGATGAGGAGGGGACGGGGATGAGGATGAGGATGAGGATGAGGATGGGGATGGGGATGAGGATGAGGATGGGGATGGGGAGGAAGAGCGGGATCAGGAGCTGTTCTGGTTCTGGTAAATCGACGCCTTCTCCTTGAGCAGGTCCAGGCAGAGGTGGCAGCTCCAGCTCCCTGCAGAAACGGGAGCAGCCTTCGGCCTCAGCCCCTCTTCCTCCCCAATTAACCAATCAACCAATCAATTAACCAATGAGGGCGGGAGGGAGAGGGGGAAGCGGAAAGGAGGAAGAGGAAGGAGGAAGAGGAGGAAAAGGAGAGGAGGAGGAAGGAAGAGAATAAAGAAAGGGGAGGGAGGAAGAGGAGGAGGAAGAGGAGGAAGAGGAGGAAGAGAAAAGGAAGGGAGGGAGAAGATGGAGAGGAGGAGGAGGAAGGGGAAGAGAACAAAGAGGAGGAAGAAGGAGAAGAAAGGAAGGAGGAGGAAAAGGAGAATGAAGGAAGAGGAAGAAGAGGAGGAAGAGGAGGGACGAAAAGGAGGAAGAAAAGGAGGATTTGGGACAATAAAAGCCCTCCCCACATCCCAGGAGGAAACCCAGGGAGAACCCGGAGGGATCCCAGGGGAGGTTCTGGGGTGGGATCAGGAGTTCCAGGGGAGGTTTTGGGGTGGGATCCCAGGGAGGATTTGGGGTGGGATCAGGAGTTCCAGGGGAGGTTTTGGGGTGGGATCAGGAGTTCCAGGGGAGGTTTTGGGGTGGGATCAGGAGTTCCAGGGGAGGTTTTGGGGTGGGATCCCAGGGGAGGATTTGGGGTGGGATCAGGAGTTCCAGGGGAGGTTTTGGGGTGGGATCCCAGGGGAGGATTTGGGGTGGGATCAGGAGTTCCAGGGGAGGTTTTGGGGTGGGATCCCAGGGGATCAGGAATTTCAGGGAAGGATTTGGGACAGGATCCCAGGGGATCAGACCCCGGGGCCGGACTCACCCTCGGGGGGCTCGGACATGGGGGGGGTCAGGCAGTACATGTGGTACCCGCGGTCGCAGTCGTCGCAGAACAGCAGCTGGTCCTGGCCCGGGGACATCCCCATCATCCCACTGCCCAAATTCCCCTTTTCCCACCAAAAAATCCTCCCCCACAGCTCACTAAAGGATTCCCATCATCCCCCTCCCCAAATTCCCCCTTTTCCCCCCAAAAAAATCCTCCCCCACAGCTCGCTAAAGGATTTTCCCCACCCCAACATCGTCCTCCCCCGTATCCAGAAGGTTCTGGAAAGGCAGAAGTTTCCTGCAGGAAGATTCCCCCCAGGATTTCTCCCAGAATGGTTCTGGGATCCTGCGGATTACCAAAATCCAGGTTTTTTTCCCCCAAAAAAAGCCTTTCCTGGGTCACATGGACTCCTAAACCCCAAGGATTTCCCCCACAAAAGAGCCTCCAGTGGGAATTTCGGGCCATTCCCAGATGGTCTCGGGGCATTCCCAGGTTCCAGCTGAGTCCTGGGGCATTCCCAGGTGATTTTGGATATTCCCAGGTGATTTTTGGGCACCCCCAGATGATTTTTGGGCATTCCCAGGAGCTTTGGGCACCCCCAGGAAATTTTTTGGCACCCCCAGGAGATTTATGGGCACCCCCAGATGTTCTGGGCACTCCCAGGAGATTTTTTGGCACCCCCAGGAGATTTTTGAGCACCCCCAGGTGATTTTTTGGCACCCCCAGGTGATTTTTTGGCACCCCGAGGTGATTTTTGGGCAGCCCCAGGAGATTTTTGGGCACTCCCAAGAGATTTTTTTGCACCCCCAGATGATTTTTGGGCACTCCCAGATTTTTGGGCACCCCCAGGAGATTTTTTTGTGCCCCCAGATGATTTTTTGGCGCCCCCAGGAGATTTTTGGGCACTCCCAGGAGATTTTTGGGCACCCCCAGATGATTTTTGGGCACTCCCAGGTGATTTTCTGGCACCCCCAGGAGATTTTTGGGCACCCCAAGGTGATTTTTGGGCACCCCCAGGAGATTTTTGGGCACTCCCAGGAGATTTTTTGGCACCCCCAGATGTTCTGGGCACTCCCAGGAGATTTTTGGGCACCCCCAGATGATTTTTGGGCACTCCCAGGAGATTTTTGGGCAGCCCCAGGAGATTTTTGGGCACTCACGTCGTTCTCGGAGGTGCCGCAGATGTTGCAGCACTTGCACTCGATGCACTGCCAGCGGTACGTCTTCACCGCCGCCATCATCACCGGCGTGAACTGCAGGCACGACGGGTGACCTGGGGACAGCGGGGACAGCGGGGACATCAGGGACACCCCAGGGACACCCCAGGGACACCCCAGGGACACCCCAGGGACAGCAGGACGTGGGGACAGGAGGAGGAAACCCTCGGATCCTCCATCCCAAAGGTCCTCCCCAACCCCAAGCCCAGCCCCAGCCCCAAGCCAGGAGAGGGAAACCCTGGGATCCCCAACCCCAAACAGCCCCCCAGCCCCGATCCAGAAGGAAACCCTGGGATCCATGATCCCAAAGATCCTTCCCCACCCCAATCTGGCCCCTCCAGGAGGAGGAAACCCTCGGATCCCTGATCCCAAATGTTTCCGTCAGCCCCAGTCCAGAAGGAAACCCTCAGATCTCCGATCCCAAAGATCTTCCCCAATCCAGGAGAGGGAAACCCTCAGATCCACAACCCCAAACATCCCCCACAGCCCAAATCCAGAAGGAAACCCTTGGATCCCCGATCCCAAAGATCTTCCCCAACCCCAGCCCAATCCAGGAGGAGGAAACCCTCGGATCCCCGATCCCAAACATCCACCCAGCCCCATCCTGGCCCCAATCCAGAAGGAAACCCTTGGATCCCTGATCCCAAAGGTCTCCCCAGCCCCATCCCCGATCCCAAAGCTCTCCCCAGCCCCATCCCGATCCCAAACCCCCCAGCCCCATCCCCGATCCCAAACCCCCCCAGCCCCGTCCCGACCCCAAAGCCCCCAGCCCCAGCCGGGCCCGCCGCGCCGTCCCCACCGGAGCGGCCGCAGTCGGAGCAGGACACGAGCTCCTCGGGCTGTCCCGTCTTCTTGTTGATCTTGGAGTCCCCCAGGCAGAAGTCGCAGTAATTGTTGGGAAGGGCCAATCCGTCGGGACCCTTCTTGGCTGGAGAAGGGAACGGGGATCAGGGCCGGGAATTCCCGATGTCTCCCCGGGGATTTTGGGGGTTTTTTCCTCACATTTCTGCTCCTCGGAGCGCTGGGACACCGGCGTGGGGGGCTGGGAGTCGTCCTTGTCGTCGCCTTCCTCCTCGGCCAGGTGGGAGTGGGCGTAGTGGTAGCTGAGCCCCGGGCGGTTCTTGTAGCGCTTCCCACAGACTGCCGGGGAAATCCGGGAAAAACCCCGGGAAATCCGGGAAAAACCCCGGGAAATCCCAGTTAGGGACCGGCAGGGGAGGGAAATCCCAAATCCCGAACCCTCCGGGCCGATCCCAGCGCCGGGCTGGGAGAGGAAAGAGGCTGGAACTGGGTAAAAGCACCCAGAATTGCTAAGGAATTGAATTGCAGGTGAATTCCCTGGGATCCCAAAGGAATTCCAGGTGAATTCCCCAGGAGATCCCAAAGGATTTCCTGGTAAATTCCCCAGGAGATCCTAAAGGAATTCCAGGTAAATTCTCCAGGACATCCCAAAGGAATTCCAGGTCAATTCCCCAGGATCCCACAGGAATTGCAGGTGAATTCCCCGGGATCCCACAGGAATTGCAGGTGAATTCCCCAGGAGATCCCAAAGGAATTCCAGGTGAACACCCTGGGATCCCAAAGGAATTCCAGGTAAATTCCTCAGGAAATCCCACAGGAATTCCAGGTAAATTCCCCAGGATCAATCCAATGGCAAAATCCTCATTGGGAATGTGTCGTGGAGAGGAAATACCCACCCCAAAAATTCCCATCCTTAGGTTAAAAACCGAGGGAAGGGGAAATTTGGGAATTTTGGGGTTCCAAGGAAGGATTTGGCAGCGGCCATGGATCCATCCCAGCTCCTTGGAACCCCAAAATCCATCACTTTTCCTGTTTCCCACCCCGGAATTTGGGAGATTTCTGCCTCGATCTGGCTCCTCGTGGATCAGGGATCAGCTCCAGTTCCCCAGCGCTGCTTTTCCAGGGATTTTTGGGGTTTTTCCTTATCCAAGGACACCCCAAAATCCCTTTCCAGCCCCGTTTTGGTGTGGGAAGGATGAGCCTGAGGAACTGGGATAAAATCCCCAAAAAGCAGCACAGGAGGGGGAATTCCAGGGCTCGGTGCAGATGTTTCCCAAGTTTCCCCTGCATTTTCCCAAAAACTGGAAATGAGCTGCTTTGGGATGAGATTTCCTGATTCCGGAGCTTTTCCAGAACACCACGGGAGTTTCTGGATCCGCTTCCACCTCGGGATCTCCCCAGACCGTGGAAAAATCAGGAAAAAAACCAGCTGGATCAGGGAAAATGGGGGCTGAACTTCCAGAGGGAGGCTGGCTCCTGCAGCCACGCTGGATATTTTGGGATAAAAACCACGGGAATTGTCCCGGGATCGGTGGGGAAAACAGGATTGGAGCAGCAGCGAGGAAGAGGCAGCAATCCCAATGTGATTCCCAGGAAATTCCCGCTTCCCTCCCGATCCACGGGGCTCCAAAGTCACCTTTCCTGCCCCCAAAACCTCCAGGACAATCTCCAGACTCGACTCTGGAATTCTCCTCCCGAGGTGAGGAAGAGGAGCCTCAGGAACATCCCGTGAATATCCCAAATTCCCCTCCCCACCTGCAGCCCATCCCCATTTTTGGGGGCTTTTTGGAGGCAAAATTCCGTGGATTTGGAGCAGGAAAACAACTGGGGGGGCTTTGGAGGCAGCAGCACATCCCGGGATTTGGGATTGGGGCGGGAACTCCGGGACTGGGGTAGGAATTCTGGGATTTGGGTGGGAACTCCAGGATTTGGGTGCAAACTCCAGGATTTGGGTGCAAACTCCGGATTTTGGGTGAAAACTCCGGGATTTGGGTGGGAACTCCGTGTTTTTCCCATTGCTGGCTCCGCGGGGGGGTTAATCTTTGTTTTCCTGGCCCCGTTCCCTGCAGGAAAAGGGTCAGGGGGCCCGAGCGGGGCCGGCGCTGACGTCGCTCCCGTGGCCTTTGGCTTCTCCCTCCCCTCCTCCTGCCCACCCCGGGGCTCCGCAGGGGGATTTGGGTTTTTTGTTTTTTCCTGTTGTTTTTTTGGGTTTGTTTTTTTTTTTTTTTTTGGGTGGAAAAAAGGGGGGAAAAAAAAGGAGGAAAAGCAGGAAAAACGAGCAGAGAGAGAGCGGAACTACCTCGGTCGGGAGGTTTCAAGGAATGCTTTTGTTTGTAACTGTCTGAAACACAGAAAGAGAAGTCGTGAGAGGACACGGACACACACGGAAAACCGGGAAAAAAGGGCAGGAAAAACACAACCTCAGGGAGCCAGGGGGAGAATTAGTGCTGGGAAGTGGCAGGACAGGAGGAAGAAGAGAGAAGAAGGAGCTGGCAAAGCCTCCCTCACGTTCCCCATCCCGTTATCCCTGGATTTGTGGGCTGGAAGGGACAGAGCCCCCACTCCGAGGGTTTTGCTGGAATTCACAGCTCCCAGATCCTTAAGGGAGGGCTGGGAACGGCTCCCAGGGACTGGGATCCGACTGGAAAACCACTGGGATGAAGGGGAGGGGCCTTCCCGGCCCTTTTGCGGGTTGCTGGGGAAGTTCACCCTGGTTTTTTTATCCTGCTTTTCATCCTGGTTTCAAGCTGCTTTTATCCCGGCTTGTATCCTGCTGTCTCCCAGTATTCCCAGTGGGAAAACTCCGCGGGAGGAAGGTGGGACCCGGCGCTGCCCTCCCTGGGACGGGGATCCCGGGGCTCTCCCGGCACTCACTGTCACACGCGTAGGGCTTGTCCCGGTCCTCCAGGATGGCGGCGTCCAGCTTCTTCCGAGCCCCCCCGACGCCTTTTCCCTGCGGAAAAATCGGGATTTTGGGGAAAAACCAGGATGAGGAGCGGGGAAAGGAGCGTCCCAACAGTGCCCCGCGGTGGGAACGGCCCGGAAGCGACCAAGAATCCTTGGGAATCGGGGAAAAATCTGGGTGTGGATCCCGGTTTTCCCGGCTGTGTCCCAGGAATCGCCTGGAATTATCGCCTGGAATGGCCTCACCTTGGCCTTGCCCTTCCCTCTCCGCTTGGGCGTGTCCTCCTCGTAATCCTCATCGTCCAAATCGTCCAGGAAATCGTCGGGCTCCAGGATCCGCTGGGAACGAGCAGAGCAGAGGGGTCAGAGCAGGGAAAAATGGGGGAAAACGGGGAAAAGACAGGAAAAATGGGAAGGGATGCAGGAGGAGCCACAGCTGGATCCGTCCCAGAGGAGGCACTGAAAGGTTTTTGTGGATGGAAAGGGAATTTCAGGTGTTTTATCCCCAAAAAAATGTCCTGGAAGGGCGGAATTCCTGCTATCCCGTCTGGAATTCCCGCATTCCCATCTGGAATTCCTGCATTCCCATCTGGAATTCCTGCATTCCCATCTGGAATTCCCGCATTCCCATCTGGAATTCCCGCATTCCCATCTGGAATTCCTGCATTCCCATCTGGAATTCCCGCATTCCCGGAGTTCCTGCTATCCCAGCCAGAATTCCCAATTCTCTGCCCGGTATTCCTGCATTCCCGGTCGGAATTCCCAGTATCCCATCTGGAATTCCCACTATCCCAAATTCCTGGCTGGAATTCCCGCTATCCCAAATTCCTGTCTGGAATTCCTGGTTCCTGGCTGGAACTCCCTCTATCCCGCCTGGAATTCCTGCATTCCCGTCCGGAATTCCCACTATCCCAAATTCCTGGATGGAATTCCTGGTTCCTGGCTGGAATTCCTGCTATCCCGTCCGGAATTCCTGCATTCCCGCCTGGAATTCCCGCTATCCCATCCAGAATTCCTGCATTCCCGCCTGGAATTCCCGCATTCCTGTCTGGAATTCCCGCATTCCCGTCCGGAATTCCCACTATCCCAAATTCCTGGATGGAATTCCTGCTATCCTGTCCGGAATTCCTGCATTCCCGCCTGGAATTCCTGCATTCCCGCCCAGAATTCCCACATTCCCATCCGGAATTTCCGCTATCCCATCTGGAATTCCCGCTATCCCATCCGGAATTCCTGCATTCCCGCCTGGAATTCCCGCTATCCCATCCGGAATGCCTGCATTCCCGCCTGGAATTCCTGCTATCCCATCCGGAATTCCCGCATTCCTGTCTGGAATTCCCGCATTCCCGCCTGGAATTCCCGCTATCCCGTCCGGAATTCCTGCATTCCCGCCTGGAATTCCCGCTATCCCGTCCAGAATTCCTGCATTCCCGCCTGGAATTCCCGCTATCCCGTCCGGAATTCCTGCATTCCCGCCTGGAATTCCCGCTATCCCATCCAGAATTCCTGCATTCCCGCCTGGAATTCCTGCATTCCCGTCCGGAATTCCCACTATCCCAAATTCCTGGATGGAATTCCTGCTATCCCATCCGGAATTCCTGCATTCCCGCCCAGAATTCCCACATTCCCGCCCAGAATTCCCGCATTCCCATCCGGAATTCCCGCCGGCACCTTGCGGGCGCGGCTGTTGGCGGGCGGGAAGTCGGCCAGGCCGTCGTCGTCGGCGCGCGGCTCCGGCAGCGCGCGCTTCTCCAGCGGCTCCGTGCGCAGCAGCGCCTCGAGGCTGCTCCCGTCCTGCGCCAGCAGCGCCTCCTTCTTCAGCGCCTGCTCCGCGTCTGCGCCGGGAGACGGCCAGAACGGGGAAAAACGGGGAAAAACGGGGAAAAACGGGGAAAAACGGGGGCGAAAAACAGGGAAAAATGGGATAAATGGGGCGAAAACGGGATAAACGGGAGGAAAAACGGGAGAAATGGGGGGGGAAATGGGAAAAACAGGGGGGAAAAAATGGGAAAAACAGGGGATAAAAACGGGGCAAAAGGGAAAAATGGGAAAATTGGAAAAATGGGGGAAATGGGGGGGAAAAACAGGAAAAACAGGGGATAAAAATGGGGAAAAAGGGGAAAATCGTGGAAAAATTGGAAAATGGGGGAAATGGAAGAAAAATGGGAGGAAAATGGGGATGGAAATGGGGAAAATAGGGGGAGAAATTGGAAAAATGGGGAAAAAGGGAAAAAATGGGATAAATGGGAGGAAAACGGGATAAACGGGAGGAAAAACGGGAGAAATGGGGGGGGGAATGGGAAAAACAGGGGGGAAAAACGGGGGGAAAAAATGGGGAAAACGGGGGATAAAAACGGGGCAAAAGGGAAAAATGGGGGGAAAATTGGAAAAATGGGGGAAATGGGGGGGAAAAACAGGAAAAACAGGGGATAAAAATGGGGAAAAAGGGGAAAATCGTGGAAAAATTGGAAAATGGGGGAAATGGAAGAAAAATGGGAGGAAAATGGGGATGGAAATGGGAAAAATGGGGGGAGAAATTGGAAAAATGGGGGAAAAGGGAAAAAATGGGATAAATGGGAGGAAAACGGGATAAATGGGAGGAAAAACGGGAGAAATGGGGGGGAATGGGAAAAACAGGGGGGAAAAACGGGAAAAACGGGAAAAACGGGGGATAAAAACGGGGCAAAAGGGAAAAATGGGGGGAAAATTGGATAAATTGGGGAAATGAGGGGGAAAAACAGGAAAAACGGGATAAAAATGGGGAAAAAGGGGAAAATCGTGGAAAAATTGGAAAATGGGGGAAATGGAAGAAAAATGGGAGGAAAAATGGGGATGGAAATGGGAAAAATGGGGGGAGAAATTGGAAAAATGGGGAAAAAGGGAAAAAATGGGATAAATGGGAGGAAAACGGGAAAAATTGGAAAAAGGGGAAAAACAGGGGAAATGGGGAAAAAATTGGGGAAATCGGTAAAAATGGAGAAAAGAGTGGGTAAAAATGAGGAAAAAACAGAGAAACATAGGGAAAAATGGTGAAAAACTGGGAAAAAGGAGGGTGGGTGAGGGATGCTGGCGGATCCGGGGTGGAATTCACAGGAATCCAGCAGGAATCGGGGGAATTACCGGGTTTGATGGAAGGGAAGGAGAGCCGGGGGTCCTCCGGGGGGTGGGCGCGGCGTTTCTTGCGCCAGCGCCGCGCCGGGTACGAGTAGAGCTGCCCGGCCGCCAAACCTGCGGAGAAATAATTTCCCTGCTGTTCCCCATCATCTCCCCATTGTTTCCCATCATTTCCCTGCTGTTCCCCATCGTCTCCCCATTGTTTCCCATCATTTCCCTGTTGTTCCCCATCATTTCCCCGTTGTTTCCCATCATTTCCCTGTTGTTCTCCATCATTTCCCCATTGTTTCCTATAATTTCCTTGTTGTTCCCCATCATTTCCCCATTGTTTCCCATCATTTCCCTGTTGTTCCCCCATAATTTCCCCATTGTTTTCCATCATTTCCCTGCTGTTCCCATCATTTCCCTGCCATTTCCCCACCATTCTCCCACCACTTCCCCACTGTTCCCCATAATTTCCCTGCTGTTCCCCATCACTTCCCCTTTGTGTCCCCATCATTTCTCCATAATTTCCCTGTTGTTTCCCCATCATTTCCCCGTTGTTTCCCATCACTTCCCCACTGTTTCCATCATTTCCCTGCCATTTCCCCACCATTCTCCAATCACTTCCCCACTGTTCCCCATCACTTCCCCTTTGTGTCCCCATCATTTCCCCATCATTTCCCTGTTGTTTCCCCATAATTTCCCCATTGTTTTCCATCATTTCCCTGCTGTTTCCCATCATTTCCCTGCCATTTCCCCACCACTTCCCCACTGTTCCCCATCATTTCCCTATTGTTCCCCATCACTTCCCCTTTGTGTCCCCATCATTTCCCTGTTGTTTCCCTGTTGTTTCCCCATCATTTCCCCATTGTTTCCCATCATTTCCCTGCTGTTCCCCATCATTTCCCTGCCATTTCCCCACCATTCTCCCATCACTTCCCCACTGTTTCCCATCATTTCCCCATTGTTTCTCATCATTTTCCTGCTGTCCCCCATAATTTCCCTACTGTTCCCCATCACTTCCCCTTTGTGTCCCCATCATTTCCCCATCATTTCCCCATTGTTTTCCATCATTTCCCTGCTGTTCCCCATCATTTCCCTGCCATTTCCCCACCATTCTCCCATCACTTCCCCACTGTTTCCCATCATTTCCCCGTCATTTCCCCGCCATTTCCCCGCCGTTTCCCCGCCGTCCCGCGCCGTACCGGGCCCGCGGTGCCGTTTCTCCATCCAGATGTAGCAGTTGCTCTGGGCCACGCCGGTCTGCGAGTCCAGGAAGGGCAGGCGCACGCTGCGCTCGGCGCAGAGCCGCGCGTTGTAGCTGTGGCACTGCTCCATGGCGTCCCGGTAGTACTGCTCACCCAGCCTGGAATGGCACCACGCGGCGGGATCGGCGCCGGGAACGCGGGATGGGCACGGGGAATGGCAGGATGGGCACGGGGAATGGCAGGATGGGCACGGGGAATGGCAGGGATGGGCACGGGGAATGGCAGGGATGGGCACAGGGAATGGCAGTATGGGCATGGGGAATGGCAGGATGGGCACAGGGAATGGCAGGGATGGGCACGGGGAATGGCAGGGATGGGCACAGGGAATGGCAGGGATGGGCACAGGGAATGGCAGGATGGGCACAGGGAATGGCAGGGATGGGCACGGGGAATGGCAGAGATGGGCATGGGGAATGGCAGAGATGGGCACGGGGAATGGCGGGATGGGCACAGGGAATGGCGGGATGGGCACGGGGAATGGCAGGGATGGGCATGGGGAATGGCAGAGATGGGCACGGGGAATGGCAGGATGGGCACAGGGAATGGCGGGATGGGCACGGGGAATGGCAGAGATGGGCATGGGGAATGGCAGGATGGGCACGGGGAATGGCGGGGATGGGCACGGGGAATGGCGGGGATGGGCACGGGGAATGGCGGGGATGGGCACGGGGAATGGCACACGGATTGGGAGGGATTGGCAAAAGGAATGGCACAGGGAATGGTAGGGATCAGTGCTGGGAACGCCAGGATTGGCACCGGGAAAGGCGGCATGGGCACGGGGAACAGCACAGGGAATGGGACGGGGAATGGCACAGGGAATATCAGGGATTGGCACCAGGACTGGCACAAGCAATGGCACAAGGAATGGCAGGGATTGGCACAGGGATTGGCAGGGATGGGTACAGCGAATGGGGACCCTCTCAGGGATGTCAGGGATACCAGGGGAGTGTCAGGGATACAACTAGAGAGACTCGGGGATAAAATCCTGGAGAGTTATCAGGGATAAACCCTCGGGGATAAACCTGGAAAACCCCCAGGGGCAAAGCTGGAAACCCTCAGGGATAAAATCCTGGTGAATATCAGGGATAAACGTGGAAACCCTCTGGGATAAAGTTTCCAATTTCCCATTCCTTGGCTTCTCCAGGACACTCTCACAGGGGTGGGAAAAGATGGAGCAAAGGGATGGACAGGAAAACAAAGATTTACAGGAAATACAGGGATTTAAAGCAAAGTACGGCAATACACAGGGAAATACAGGGATTTAGAGAGAAATACAGGGAATTAGAAGGAAGCACAGGAATATACAAGGAAATACAAGGATTTCGAGGGAAGTACAGGGAAGCTCCCCCCCAGCTCGGCCTCCACAGGACCCTCTGGCCGGGATGCACAGGGAAGCAGTGCAGGAATAAGCAGGGAAGGTACAGGGATATTCAGGGATATTTAGGGATATTCAAGGATGCACAGGGAATCTCCAGGGATGCACAGGGATGCGCTGGGATGACTCCCCCGTCCTTGGCCTCTCCAGGACGCTCGCAGGCGGGAGTTTAGGGATACATGAGGGAGCACAGGGAAGCACAGCGATACAATCCAGGGAATTTTACAGGGGTGAACCCCCCGCCTTTGCCCTCTCCAGGACCCCCTCAGGGCCAGACCTGCGGGATCCCCCCGGCCCCTGGGGACCCTCGCAGGCTCTGCCCTCCCCTCACACCTCTGCGGCCCTCCCGGTGCTGGGGGAGGATTTTGGGGTGTCCTTAACGCCCCCCTCAGCAAAGTTCACCGCGAACAATGCGCTCGTGTCGCTTCCTCCCCACCCCCCTCCCCGCCCGCTTGGTCCCGTCCGGCGCGCGGGGGGCCAAGGGGGGGTCCCGCTTCCCGCGCCCGGCCGGGCCGCACCATTCCCGCGCCGCAGGGGGAGACCGGCGGTGTGTGGGGAGGGGGGGGGAGCCGCACTCACAGCTTGACCACATTCTGAACCACCGCCGCCATCTTGGCTCCGCCGCCGGGGCGCCGCGGGGCGCGTGCGCGGAGGGAGGGGCGGGAGGGGCGGGGAGGGGGATGGAGGGAGGAGGAGGAAGAGGAGGAGGAGGAGGAGGAGGAAGGAGAGGGATGGAGGGAGGAGGAGGAGGAGGAGCGGGGAGAGGAAAGGGTGGGGAAAGGGGAGGCGGAGGGAGGAAGAGCCGGGGGAAAGGGAGCGTGGAGTCCTCCCGGCCGCTGGGGGGCGCTGTGCGCCGCGCGCGTGCGCGGTGGGGGGCCGAGAAAAGGCGGGAAAAGAGTGAGGGGGCAGGGGCGAAAGTCTGAGGGGGAAAATGGCGGGAAAAGGATCTGAGGGGGAAAATGCACAGAAAAGGAGAAAATCCAGCAAAAAGGGGTGGGTGAAGGTACGGGGAGGAAGGGAGGGCCTGGGGATGAGGGAGGGAGGGAGGCAGAGTGGGGGATACGGGGGGGAGACTGAGGGGGAGAATGAGCGACAAGATGGGGGGAGAATGAGGGGAAAAATGGGAGAGAGCAATGCAGGAGAGTGAGGCAAAAATGGACAGAAAGTGAGGGGGAAAATGATGGCATGAGGATGAGGGGGTTTATCGTGGAAAAAGGAGATTTGAGAGACCGCACTGCTCCCTACAATTCCCTGGAATGGGGCTGGGGGTGAGATCCCTTCTCCCCATGGATAAAACAAAAGGAACAGCCTCGAGTTGTGTCAGGGGAGGTTTATTCAGGAAAGTTCCTGGAAAGGGTTGTCCCACCCTGGGATTATCCCAAAAAAAGCCTGGATGTGGCACATGGGGACGCTGTTCAGGGATGGCCAGGTTGGATTTGATGATCCCAAAGGTTTTCTCAACTTTTCCATGGAATGGGGTGGAAGAGGGAGGATGGGAAGGGAAATGGGGAGGGAAGGGATGGAGGAGGTTTGGGGGATAAAATGGAAAGAGGGGTGAGGGTTGGGAGGCAAATGAGGGATAAATTGGGGATGGGGGAATGAAACGAGGGATAAACGAGGGCTGGGAGAGGTGAAATTCGGGATAAGTGAGGATGGATCCCTCATCCCCCCAGATTCCTTATGGCTCTTCATCCCCAAAAATTCCTGCCAAAAGTTCCCATTGTTGAGCTCTTTTCCCTTTTTATCCAACCTGAATTAACCAAGTATCCCCAAATTCATCCCTCAGGACAGAGGTCACCCACAGACCCCACGGCGAGCGTGGTTTGACGTCAGCTTCCAGGTGAGCATTCATCTCCAGGTGAATTCCCTATTTCCAGGTGAGTTCCTCACTTCCAGGTGAATTCCCCATTTATTTCCAGGTGAATTCCTCTCTCTTTTTCCTCCTTATTTCCACATCCTACCTGTTTTTTTTTTCCCTGTTTGCTGGGAATTTGCCTTTTTCCCCCAAGGTCACCCCCTGGTCAAACCTTCCTCCCTCTTCCTCCTCCTCCTCCTCCTGGTAATCCCAGGCCAGCTGTTGCTCTGGCTCCGTTCCGGGCTCCGGCCACGCCGGGGGTCAAGCACTGACCGCTGGCGTGGGCGGCGTTAATCCGCTGCCCGGAAATCCCGGGATAACGAGGAAATTGGGAGGGAGGCCTGTGCCCCTGCTGGGGTTAATTAATGATTCCATCCTTGCTTGAATCCAGAATAAACTCCCCAAAAAGGGAGGGGGAGCTGAGTCACGGCTGCTCCAGATGACTCAAATTCTTGGAATTAGGAGTAAATCAGCAGCTGTGGTTTGCATAAATCGTTAATTTGGGGAGTGATTAATTAGGGGAGAAGTGAAGGAGGCTCCAGTCCTGTGGAAAGGGATCCCAAATTATTTATTCATTAATTAAAAGTTAATTAAAGAATTTGTTTTTTTTTTTTTTTTGCAGGAGATGAGATTGAGGAAAAAAAAACATTTCAGGGATAATAACACTAATTTTGGGGATAATTTCAGGGGTTTATAGCAAGCTGGTCTGAGGGGTGTGGGAGGGAGGGAAGAGAGGAAGGAGGGGAGGGGGGAGAAAAGCAAAATCACCTTTTCAAGGTTAAAAAAACCCCCAAATTTGATAAGTTAAAGGAGCTTTTCCAGGACTGGAGCAGAGGGGGATGAGTGAGGGGAGAACAGAAACAAGTGAACGAGCTGGAACACCCCAAAAGTCAGCCCTGGGTTGTGGAAGGGAAAAAACTGGGGCAGAAAAGGGACAAAACAGGAAAAAAGGGGATTTTGGCTGATTTTGATTATTTCAAAACGGCTCCGGCAGCGACGGTTTCGCAATTCCTGGGCCGAGGTGGGGCACAAACAGCTCCATCTTCAAATCCCTGATTAAGGTGGAAGCCAGGAAAATTGGGGTGAAATCCAGGAAAAAAAGTCCATCCACGTTGTCTCAGCCCAGCTCATGTTGGAAAACCCCCAAACCACAGAAACCCACCCAAAATGAGCCGTTCTGGGCTGTTGGTCTGAGCAGCAGCTGTGGTGTGTCTGTGGGACAGGAGGGGACACGGAGCCACGGTCCCATCCCAATCTCTGGGGTTAATTAATCACAAACGTCCCGGGGGTTAATTAATCACAAACGAGGCTCTGAAATGGCTGGAATTGATTTGGGGAGGAAAAATCCCAAAATAAATAAAACGTGGACAGAGTGTGGGGGGAGAAAAGAGTTTAGAGCAGGGAAGAGTTGGACCAGATAGAAATTCAACCAGATCGAGCCTAATTAACCTCAGTCTGCTAATTATTTTACCGGTGAAAACTTTGGAAAATGGGTTTATCCCCAAATTCTGGGTGTTTGCACCCAAAGTGGTTCGGGTTTACTGACGCAGAGGGGGAGGGGAAGGAAGAGGCGGGACAAGGGTTTGTTAACGAGAATCTAATGAGTCATTAGTCAGATAATCTAAATTAGACTCGTTAGGCAATGAGGAACGGCACCAGTGGGGTCAGGAGGGGCCGCGACTCCGCCCTGGGGGGATCCCAGCCTCATTCTGGGCTCAAACTCCCCGAAATCGGTGAAAGGATGGAATTTGTGCCAGGAGCCTGGACAAGGAGGCCCCGCTAATCCCACCCTGTCACCAGCAGCGTGTCCAGCTGGGTTTTTGTCCCTGTTCCCCAAAATCCAGCTGGAATTCCCTGTTCCCGCCGCACCCAATCGGTGGCGGATCCGTCGGTGCCGGATTGGGATTTTGGGTTGTTTTTGCGTCTCCTCGACGGTTCCCAGCCCCAGCCCCGCTCCTGTCGGCCCCAGAGGGGTTTTTTGGCCCCTCCATGGATTGAGTTCCTAAAACAAGAGCCCTGCTCCTCCACGGGGAGTTTTGGCTTCTCCACGGACACACGGAGCCCGGTGGAGATCTCCCGGTGGAGATTTCTCCGTCTGTGGGATTTCCAGAGGATTTCACGGAGCAGAAGTTGAACTGGCGGCGGCGCTGTGACGGTTCAGGAGGTTCAGGAGAACCAACCCCGCTGCGCCCCCAAATCCTCCTGGCCAGAATCTTTGGGAATTCATCCCAAAAGAGGAATTCATCCCGCGGGGTCCGACGGACACGGCGTCGCGTTTCCCGTGGTCAGCTCTGGCACTGAGGAGAGCTCGGGGGTCCTGCCCTGAGGCCGAACCCTCGCCCTGCGTGAGGAAAGGCGGGAAAATGAGCTGGAATCCAAGCCGGAATCTGAGCTGGAATCTGAGCTGGAGGAATCCGATCTGGAATCTGAGCTGGAATCTGAGCTGGAGGAATCCGATCTGGAATCTGAGCTGGAGGAATCTGATCTGGAATCTGAGCTGGAATCTGAGCTGGAGGAATCCGATCTGGAATCTGAGCTGGAATCTGAGCTGGAGGAATCCGATCTGGAATCTGAGCTGGAGGAATCTGATCTGGAATCTGAGCCGGAATCCGAGCGCCGCATCTGAAAACCACCCCGAATCCCGCTCGCCATCCTCATCCTCACCGTCCATCTCCCAGCGCCTTCACGTCAGGATCTCCGGCCGGGCGCCGGCGCCGCGCTCGGCCCGGTGCCGGTCCATGACCTGCAGCACGTCCTCCAGGATGGACGGCCCCAGGTCCACGTGCAGCGACAGCAAGGAGCCGGCGTGCGACAGGAAGGGCTCGGCCTCGCCGTTGGCGGGCGCGGCGAGCCGCGGGCACGGCGGCGGTGGTGCCGCCGCGGCCTCGTCCAGGTGCAGCCGCGGGGGTTTCGGCGGGGCCTGCGCCGCGGGCAGGGTCAGCGCCTGGGCGGCGCCGAGCGCCGGCAGCGAAATGGCGTTCTTCAGCAGCGGCGACGGCGCCGCGGCCGCCTCGCCGCCGGACACGGTGGCCGTGCGCGAGAACTCGAACGGCGCCGACGGCGCCTCGCCGCGGGGCAGCAGGTGGAACTTGCCCTGCAGGAAGGAGATGTCCCCGAAAGTGTCGCTCTCGCCGCCGCTGCCCACGTGGATGGTGTGGCGGAAGTCGCCCAGCGGCGGGCTGATCATGTCCGAGGACAGGATGTCCCGCAGCTTCTCCTTCTTGCCCTTGCGGCTGCCCCTCTTCAGGTAGATCGGCACCTTGGTGGAGGACATGGCGGCCACCGGCACGCGGCCAAGCTGGCCGGCCTCAGGACAGCCTGGGGAGGAGTGAGAGGGGAAAGGCTCAGCTCTGACACTTCAGCGGGGCTTCCTCACCCTCCAGACAATCCCAGACCTTCCTCAGGAGCATCCTCACCCTCCAAACCAATCCCAGGAGCATCTTCACCCTCCAAACAATCCCAGACCTTCTCCCGGGGCATCCTCACCCTCCAAACAATCCCAGACCTTCCTCTGGAGCATCCTCACCCTCCAAACAATCCCAGACCTTCCCCTGGAGCATCCTCACCCTCCAAACAATCCCAGGAGCATCTTCACCCTCCAAAAAATCCCAGATCTTCCTCTGGAGCATCCTTACCCTCCAAACAATCCCAGACCTTTCCCTGCACCATTCTCACCCTCCAAACAATCCCAGACCTTCCCCCAAACGAGCAGGTCAAAGCCAGGGCAGGTAGGAGGAGGGAATCAGGGAATCCAGAGGATTTCTGATTTTCGGGAGGAGCCGGGCTGTGCACTGGAGGTCGGGACAGCGGAGTGCTGGGAAAAGGCGTTTTTAACCCAAAAGGGATTTTCTCACCCCGTCTCTCGGCCCCACCCAGTAAAAACCAGAGATTTTGGAGATGTGGGGCCAGAAGGGGAAGGAAGTTGGGGTTTTCCCCGGTTTCAGTCGTGAATTCTGAGCTCAGCCATCGGATCTGGGCCGGATTTTCCAGCTCTGGAGAGAAATGAGGCAAAAATGGGAATTTTTGGTGCCGTGAATGTGTCCAGCTTTGGGATTTGCCTCAGTGGGAGGAAAAAGGGGATGGAACGAGTTTGGGGCCGCCAGAAGGTTCCCTGTTAAATCAGCAAGTGGGAAGTTCTGGAGGTTTTCACCCTTATCAAGAATTTTCAGGGAGAAAAAATTCCATCCATCCCTGTTTTTGTAACGGAGCAGCAGTGAGGGATTTAGGGACAGGTTTGGGACACCCTGAGGGGCCGGAATTCGACCCAGAAAAGCCCCGGGAGGATTTATCCCTAAAAACACAACAACACCGCCAAGGGCCCGAGGGATGGAAAATCCCATTTCCCCTTCACCGCTCCAAACCTCCCCCGAGCCCAACTGCTGCTGCCTCTCCTGCTTTGGGGGAATATTCCCTCACAATTCCTTGTTGTTAGGGAACATTCCCTTATCATCCCGTTTTTAGGGAATATTCCCTCATAATTTCTTGGTTTTAGGGAATATTCCCTTATTACCCCCCATTTTTAGGGAACATTCCCTTATAATTCCCTGCTTTGGAGGAATACTCCCTTATTATCCCATTTTTAGGGACTATTCCCTTATAATTCCCTGTTTTTAGGGAATATTCCCTTATCATCCCCTGTTTTTAGGAAATTTATCCTGTTTTCATGGAATTTCCCCCCCTTCTCCCCCGTTTTCATGGAATTCTCCCCCATTCTCCCCTGTTTCCATGGAGTTCTTCCCTGTTTTCACGGAATTCTCCCCCGTTTTCATGGAGTTCTCCCCATTATCCCCCGTTTCCATGGAATTTCCCCGTTTTCATGGAATTCTCCTTGTTTCCATGGAATTCTCTCCCGTTATCCCCCATTTCCATGGAATTCTCCCCCATTTCCGTGGAATTCTCCCCCATTTCCATGGAATTCTCTCCCGTTATCCCCCATTTCCATGGAATTCTCCCCATTTTTCATGGAATTCTCCCCATTCTCCCCCGTTTTTCCCCCGATCCGCCCAGACCCCGTTACCGACCGGCGCTGGCGCCGCTCCCGAGGCCGCGAGGGGAGGGAGGGGAGGGAGGGGAGAGGGGAGAGGGTCCCGGGAGGGTCCCGGGGAGGGTCCCGGGGCGATCCCGGGATCGGGGCAGGGCCCGGCCCCGGCTCCGTCCGGCGGCTCCCAGCAGGAGAATCCTGACGGTGCAAAATCAGCGCCGCTAATCCCGGGATTAGCGCGGGACGGGCGGCGACAGCGACAGACAGGGACAGCGACAGGGACAGACAGGGAATCTTCCTCTGGAAAAAGGGGAACTGTAGGGCAAAAAGTAGGATTGAAGGGGGAAACAAAAAAAATTAAATTGTAGGGAAAAAAAAAACCCCACAGGGCTGTAGGGAAAAAAAAAAAAGGAATTACAGGAGGGAAAATGAGTTTGTGGGGGGAAGAAGTGGATCTGTAGGGAATAAGGTGGCTTTGTAGGGAAAGAAGCCTGTGAGGTGTGGATTCCCAGGTGTGGCTGGGGGTGATAGGGATGAATATCCCGGTCCCCGGGATTTTTGCCGCGTGGAAATCTCTTCCAACCCAAAGTGCCCTCCCTGACCCCAGTCCCCCCCCCTGGGCCGCTCCCGCTCGGCTGCGCCGGGACAAAGCCCCGGGAAAAACCGGGAATGTTCCGGGAGCTGCGTTCCCTTTGTGCTGCCAGAGGGAAATCCCTGCAATGGGGCGACTCCAGCCCCTAAATCCCCTCCTCCTGGAATTCTTTGGGATTTTTTCTTTTTTTTTTTTCCCCAAGGCAAATCCTGTAGGGAGATCCGGAACAGGTGAAAAATGGGCTGGAAAAGGAGGAAAACCATGAAGAAAGCTCCAAAAAAACCCCCTCATTTCAGGGAGTTTCCACCCCTGAAATCCCAGGAGAACCCAGGACACCCCAGAAGGAAGAGTCGGGAACGAGGAAAACAGGGAAAAAGAGTAAAAAACAGGAAAAAAAGGGATGTTTTCCCCAGGATCCGAGTGGGAGGAGCTCCAGAAGGCGTTTCCAGGACTCCGACCCTTGGAATTGCCTGAATCAGCAGATTCGATTCCCACGGAGGAAAATTTGAGGAATTTTTCCCTGTTTCCATCAATTCTGGCTCCAATGGAGGATATCCTGTTCCTTTTCCACCTGTTTTTGGTGATTCAGGGTTTGGATTTGGAGGAATTTTCTGAAATTACAGGAAAATTTTGGTCCTTTTCCAGCACTTTGGGCTTCAGCCCATCCAGGTTTTTCACTTTCCACCTGTTCTTAGAAATTCAGGCTTCAGCTCAGGAAAAATTTGGGATCTTTTTGCCTCTTGCCACAAATTTACCTCTCACAACCTGGACATTCCGTTCCTTTTCCACCTGGTTTTGGAAATTTCTACCTCAATGTGAAACTTTCTGCCCATTTTCAGCCCCTTGAGCTTCAGGACCTCAACATTTTTACATTTCCCATCGTTTTTCCATAAAAAAATCCTCACTTCCTGCCAACTTCCAGCATTTTGGGCCTTGCCACACAGAATTTTGGGGGTTTTTAGCCAATTTTCAGGAATTTTGGCACTGTCTGAGCAGCTCTTCCCCACCCCGGTGTCCCCACGAGAAATCCCATCCACATTTTACCCCAAGCGGGGATTCGGGGATGGAATTAAATTCCTTTTCCCACGGGAATGGCCCGAGGGAGGAGCAGCCTCCAAAATCTCAGTTCCTCCCATTCCTCCCCTCCTGACCCATTCCAGCCTTTTTTTGGTGCCCGATTTAAATCCCGCCTCCGGATTTGCCCCTGGGAAGGCGATTTGCCCCGGGATCGTTCCGCGGGATGGATTTTCCCGAAAAAGGATGGAAATGCCCCATTTCCCTGCGGTCCCGGAGCTGCGGGAGCGGCAGAGAGGAAGAGGAGCCCTCGGGGATGAAGGTCGTGGGGTTTTTTAGGGAATGGGGATTTTGGGAGCGGCGCCAGGACCCGTCCGTGAGATCCGTGAGTTCTGAGCACGGGAAAAGCTGGAATTGGTTAAAATCGGTGAAAATCGGGAAAGAATTCCCCCCATCCCGTCCCACCTCGGGAATCCAGCGGAGGGTCCGGGCCGGGGGCAGCGCGGCGGCGACAATTCCATGCCAGGGGCGAGCGGGACCTGCCGGGGTCCTTTTCCCAGGAAAACCCTCGGGACAATCCCAGGAGAAGCCGGAGGATGAGGAAGGAAGGAAGAAGTCTCGGCTTCGGCCACACCCCGGTGTCCCCGGTGCCAAAAAAATCCACGGAAAAAACCCAAATCCAGGAAAAGCAGCAGCGGCTCCGTCGGGCGGCTCCTCCCGGGCCGGGATTCCCGGGAAGTGGCGCTGGGTCGGGGAAGGGCTCGGAGTCTGCTCGGGCTCCCGGGACACTCCTTGGAGCGGGGGCTGGGAAATCCAGAGACTGGGAAATCCGGGGGTTCGGAAATCCGGGGATTCTCCTGTTCGCAGGAAAAAACGCCCGGAAAGCGCCGGGCAGGGATCCAGGGGCTGTTCCGGGGATCCAGGGGCTGTTCCGGGGCTATTCCGGGGATCCAGGGGCTGTTCCGGGGCTATTCCAGGATCTATTCCGGGGATCCAGGGGCTGTTCCGGGGCTATTCCGGGGATCCAGGAGCCGTTCCGGAGCTATTCCAGGGATCCAGGGGCTGTTCCGGGGCTATTCCGGGGATCCAGGAGCCGTTCCGGAGCTATTCCAGGGATCCAGGGGCTGCTCCGGAGCTATTCCGGGGATCCAGGGGCTGTTCCGGGGCTATTCCAGGATCTATTCCGGGGATCCAGGGGCTATTCCGGGGATCCAGGGGCTGTTCCGGGGCTATTCCAGGGATCCAGGGGCTGTTCCGGGGCTATTCCGGGGATCCAGGGGCTGTTCCGGGGCTATTCCGGGGATCCAGGGGCTGTTCCGGGGCTATTCCGGGGATCCAGGAGCCGTTCCGGGGATCCAGGAGCTGTTCCAGGGATCCAGGGGCCGTTCCGGGGCTATTCCGGGGATCCAGGAGCCGTTCCGGAGCTATTCCAGGGATCCAGGGGTTGTTCCAGGATCTATTCCGGGGATCCAGGGGCTATTCCAGGGATCCAGGGGCCGTTCCGGGGCTATTCCAGGGATCCAGGAGCTGTTCCGGGGCTATTCCAGGATCTATTCCGGAGATCCAGGACCTATTCCAGGGATCCAGGGGCTGCTCCGGAGCTATTCCGGGGATCCAGGAGCTGTTCCGGGGCTATTCCAGGATCTATTCCGGGGATCCAGGGGCTGTTCCAGGGATCCAGGGGCTGCTCCGGGGCCGTCCCGCAGCTCTAAGCCGGGAGCGGGCGGAGCCGGGGGGCCCCAATTAAGCGTTGGTTTAATTAAGCCGGGAAGCGGGGAGGAGGTGGGGGAGGGATCCGCTCTTTTTTCCTGATCCGAGGAAGGAATCGCTGCTTTCCCTTTAAATCCGGGATGCGACAGCGCCGCGGACGCGGCCGGGAGGGCGGGAGGAGCTGCGCCCGCCCTCCCCGCAGCATCCCGGGATTCCGAGCGGATCCTTCTTCCCTTCCCTTCCCTTCCCTTCCCTTCCCTTCCCTTCCCTTCCCTTCCCTTCCCTTCCCTTCCCTTCCCTTCCCTTCCCTTCCCTTCCCTTCCCTTCCCTTCCCTTCCCTTCCCTTCCCTTCCCTTCCCTTCCCTTCCCTTTTCCCGAATTCCCGGCGGTGTCACCTCCGGACCCCGGGATTGGGATCGGGGCCGGGATTTGGGATCAGATTCGGAATTTGGGATCAGATTCGGGATCGGGATCCGCTCCCGAGCGGATTCCAGGCCCCCACCCCGGCCTCGTTTCCCTTCCCGGGAATTCCCGGAGCTCCTTCGGCCTCTCCTCTGGGAAGGAGCCCCGAAAATAAATCTGGAAAAACCCCAGCAGGATCGGGTCCCGCCCCAAAACCCTCGGGAATTCCCGAATTAAATCCCGAATTAGGGATGGATTGTACGGTGGGGGCTCTGTGGGGAGGAAAAGTCAAAATTCCCCAAATCCCCCCCCAGGACCCGGCTCTGGCTCTTCCTGCTGCTGTTTTAACCAAAATCGGAGTTTTTCCAAGGGAAACTGAGGTTGGGGGAGGAGAACCCAAGGGGAAAACTGGGAGGAAATGGGATTCTGCTCCCCTCCCCTGCAGGTGCAAAAAAAAAAAAAAAAAAAAAAAAGAAGAAAAAAAAAAAGAAAATAAAGCTGGAAATGAGAGGAAAATAACCTGTATTTGATTTGGGGTGAGAAGTGCTGGAATTGGGTGAAGAGCAGAGGAACCAGGAGGTGACCTTGGCACTTCCCAACTGCTCCACGCAGATATTTGGGGAGAAAAAGGAGATTTTTGGGAAAATCCTGGCCACACAGCGGAGTTGTAAGGGGAGTTTCCCTCCCCAGCCCAAATTTTCCCTGGTTTTACCCCAAAATCCACCTTTTCCCTTAGGAAATGACACCGGGACAGGCAGAAACTTTAATTAATTTTCACCTTCTTCATCATCATCATCATCATCAATTTGGGGCAAAAAGTTTGGGAAAAGGGTCAAAACCAGACCCGCAGCTGTTTTCTCCTGGGAAGCAGCAGCACCAGGATTCAATAATTAATTGGTTTTGGACTAATTAAACTCCAAGTTCCCTAATGAGGCCACTGAAAGCGAAGGGTGACACCAGGACAGGGAGGATCCCACGCCCGGATTCCCCTTCCCAAATTCCGTTTTACTGGAGGTGAATCCTGAATCCTCCTGGGGAAATCCTCCACGTGCCAAACGGTTCTGGGGGTTTTTAGCTGGAATTCCAGCAGTTTTAACCAGAATTCCAGGAGTTTTAACTGGAATTCCAGGAGTTTTAACTGGAATTCCAGGAGTTTTAACCAGAATTCCAGGAGTTTTTTAACCGGAATTCCAGGAGTTTTAACCCCAATTCCTGCCCCTGCAGCCCCGGGTGGGAACGGGCAGAGCTGGGAGCTCAAATCCTCACGACCTGGGCGGCCACGCAGGGGCTGCTCCGGGGGGCGTCC